TTCCTCCCAAGGTTGCTTCCAGTCATGGTGTTAATCACAACAAAAGAGAAAACAAACTAGAAGAGGCACCATCTGAATTCCATGATGGTGTCATTTACTTTCACATGCATAGTACTTGAAGACTTATCATAGACACACTATGCATACAAAGCTCCATAATAATAAAACTTTAAAGTCCAAACTCACAGTTCATAAATAGCTTATTCAAAAATAATTTGGGAGTTACAGACAAAAAAAAAAAGCATCAAGATTAAACATTTTCAATATAAGTATTTAATTTCACAACTTTTTAAGTTGGGGCGATAGCTCATTTGTTAAAGTGATTGCTATGCAAGCATGAAGACCTGAGTTTGATCCACCAGAACTCACGTAAAAGTCAGGCACAGTGGCACGGCCTGTAATCCCAGCACTAGAGAGGAGGAAACAAGAGGATCTCTAGGCTTGCTGGCTGGCAAATAGCTGAATTAGAGGTTCAGCGAAGAGACTATCTCAAAAAATAAGGTAGATGGGCTGGAGAGATGGCTTAGCAGTTAAGAGCACCAGCTGCTCTTGCAGAGAACCTGGGTTCAGGTCCCAATACCCACACAGTAGCTAACAACCATCTGTAATGCCAGTTCCAGGGGATCCAATGCCCTCTTCTGACCTCCACAGGCACTGCATAACATGGGTACACTTATATACATGCAGGCATTACACTCAACCACATAAAATAAAAATAAATAAAGGTTAAAAAAAGAAAGAGAACTAATGAAAGTTGTTTATTTAAAGAAATTAAGAGGAATGGGGATGGAGAAATGGCTCAGCAATTTAGAGCATTACTGCTCTTGCAGAGGTCCTGAGTTTGAAGCCCAGCACCCACATTAGGCAGCTCACAACCACACCTACATACACGTGCACATACAAACACACAGATACGCACATACCTGTAACCAAAAATAAATGAATGTTTAAAAAAAAGAAAGTAATCAAGAATTATAGTTTGGGGACTATCATTTACAGTTCTGCACACCTTCCTCCCACATGACAGGCATGTCAAGATTTACTGAACTAAAGACTGGCCAATGTTAGCATCAATTGGCCCTATAATTTAAAAGAGACATGGAATATTTCCAGGCCTCAGAAGTCCAGAAAAGAAGACCTGCAGCCACCAAGGCTCTAAAATAAACAGAACCAAGACCTGCCTCCCATATCTGATCACTGTGATGCCACACACAGCAAGGAGAGCTGACAGGCTGCTAGAAACTGATAAACTAGTGAAGCCACGTTTAGTCTACTGACAGCTTTATATGTCCAGTATAAGAACTGAGACAAAAAAGATACACACCATCTTTATATTTTTTTCAGTTCTGAATTACAAAGAGAATTTGTAAAAACTCAAAGAACTCTCTTCTCCACTCATTGTCACCACCTGTTAATATTTTGCTTGATTTCTTTATCATTCTTTCTTCTGCTGTCCCTAAGTTTTTTTTAGATTCACTCACAGACATGCCATGCCCTTCTACCCCCAACACTTCAGGTTGTAATTCCTAAGAATATGGATGTCAAGACATGGAAGTACAGGGGGTGGAGAGATGGCTCAGCGATTAAGAGCACTGGCTGCTCCTGGAAAGGAAATGGATTTGTTTCCCAGCACATGGCAGCTAACAACAATCTGAAACTCCAGTTCCAGAGGATCCAACGCCCTCTTCTTGCCTCTGCCGAGATTGCATGACATGGGTGCACTTACATACATGCAGGCAAAACACTCATACACATAAAATAAAATAAATAAAACAAAATAAAATGCAATTATCTAGTCTCCAAACTGCACGAGGCCAACTGTCCCAAAAGCATCCCTTTTGGTTCTTGTCTCCGAGATCAATCACACTGCACGTTTTCTTTCATGACTCTTTGGTCTCCGTTAATCAGGAACAGCTGGCTTTCCAGCCTTTGCTTTTCACGACACAGCCCCTGTCTTTCATGAAGCACAGTCCCAGTTTTATAGATTCACCTGGGGTTTGTCTTTTTCCACAAGATGGAATTCAATGCTGTGCTTTTTAGCAGAAACGGCACACACAGAAGTGATCTTCCTGCTCACTACATTGCACCGGAGGTGCAGCTTCAGGAAGTCCCATTATTGGCAACATGAACCTGATCGTTTCTTAAGGAGGTAAAGTTATCATTTCTCAACTTTTTGATTATTAAATAACTTATGGGAAGATAAAACCTCCACTAGTTTCAGCACCCACTCATGATGCCTGCCTGAATCACATGTTACTGTGGTAGCTGTGAAATGATCTGTGCAACTTCCATTCCTGTGGGTTTATTAGCTGACATTATTCAGGAAGAAAAACTCTGCCTGACAACCCATGTATTTATTTATTGATACTATGGATTCTTGGGACTGCAGAGATGGCTCAGCGGTTAAGAGTACTGGTTGCTCTTTCAGAGGACACAGGTCCAGTTCCCAGCATCCACATGGCAGCTAACAATTATCCGTAACTCTGTTATAAAGGATCCCACCCTTTCCTGGCCTACGTGGGCATTACACAACATAGGTGCATACACATACACGCAGGTAAACACTCACATACATAAAATGAAAATAAATAAAAATTTTAAAAACAGTATGGATTCATATTTAACTCTATAGGCTTATGATCCATCCTCATCTCTAGTCACAGCTGTGGCAGGTGGGTGCTCCTTCAAGCTGGGGTCTCTGTTCTTCCAACAGGCTCCTGCCACTCATCTGAACACTTCCTTGCTTTCTGGCACAAAATGTTCCCTTTTTGAACTTTCCCTGTACCAGCTCTAGAATCAGTCATTTCTCTAAAGCGCTAGAACCTTTCAGCAAGAGGTGATTTCTCAGAAACCAAGACCTGTTCATGGCTAAAATATGTCACTACTTCTAGGCCTTTTCATCAAAGAACTAGGAGACACATGTTTTTATAGGTTGTAGTCAAATTATATTCAACAAGAAAAGCAAAACATTGAAAAAAATTTCCACTACTGATGTGAGCAACACATAGTTAACAGAAAGACCACACAAAACCATGTAGGACACTGAACAGAGTTAATTTTTCTTTTTATACTATGTAAAATTTTCTTTTACTACAAGTCGTATAAATCTCCCAATTTTATGAAAGCAAAACACACAAAAAAATGGCAACTCCATCGTCTCAGGTTTACAAGTCACCAATCTTTTTTAAAAAATTTTTTTATTATTTTTATTTTATGTGTATGCATGTATTGCCTGCATAAGTAAGTGCCAGGTTTACAAGTCACCAATCTTTTTTAAAAAATTTTTTTATTATTTTTATTTTATGTGTATGCATGTATTGCCTGCATGTAAGTAAGTGCACCCGTGTCGTGTAGTGCCTGTGGAGGTCAGAAGAGGCTGTCAGATCCCCTGGGACTGGAGTTACAGACAGTCGTTAGCTGCCATGTGACAAGTCACCAATCTTTTTTGGTGATAAGAGTGAAGGAGATTTAGCAAAGTCAAGAATAATTATATCTGGAAATTAAGAATACAGACAGTTTCACACATTTTTAGTTCTAAGATTACAAAAAATACTGAAATTAGCAAGTTGGTCAGAAAACTTAAAATGAATTAATTTTAAAATACTAATTCTCTGCCTTCCTTCACCACCATTTAGCATTACTGGATTTCTACAAGGGTGTGGTATCCTGGAAAACAAGTTTCCACCATTCCCACTCCACCAACAGAGGTGACTGGATCAGTACTGCATGTGAGAAAATGAAGAAGGCTATTCCAAGAACCTGTGTGAAGACACTGGATACCTACATGTCATGGCACATCCAGTCATCATGAGCAAGTCAGGTGCAACAGAACAGGCTCCAAAGTTTGTTCATCTACTTTTCAGAATCTGCTTCCTAAGTTTGAAATCACAGACTTTCGTAATTGCTTAACCTAACCAGCACTTACTAAATATATACTCTTCCCAGAACTAAGTGTCCCCCCCAGGTACATCTCTGCTCTTTGTTCTGCCTCTTCCCCTGCCCTACACTGACCTTGAAGTGTAGTGAGTCACTTTAGCCACCCTCTGGGCAGAATCCTCGGGGTACTTCTCCATGGTGACATTCAGTGTTACGATTTGTGGGCAGAGCACTCTGCTCCGTAGATGCACTGCAGATGCACTGCAGAGACGTGTCTCTGCGATGCTTAAGAACCCCACACTGGAAGTCTTCACAGCATCTGCTCTCGCATGTCTTTCCCACCACTGATCACATGCTCCCATACATTTCACCTGTTTCCTTTCATCTACAAAGTGTTCCAGTGTCTTCCATGTAAAAAACAGCTTCACTAGCCAGGCGTGGTGGCACATAACTTTAATCCCAGCACTCAGGAGGCAGAGGCAGGCGGAGCTCTGTGAGTTTAAGGACAGCATGGTCTATATAGTGAGATCTTGGCCAGCTGGGGTACGGGGAGACACTGTCTCAAAAAGACCAAAAACACCCCTGAAACTTCATCTTTTAAAAATCCAAATTTCTGGCTGAGCATGGTGGCACATGCCTATAATCTAGCACTTGGGAGACTGCATTAATCTCAGATTATATATATATATTTTAATATTTTATTTATTTTTATTTTATATGTATGAGTGTTTTGCCTGCATATATGTTAAAGTACCACATGGATGCAGTGCCCGTGGCAGCCAGAAAAGAGCATCAGCTCCTCTAGAACTGGAATTACAGATGGTTGTCACCTATCATGCAGGTGCTGGGAACCAAACCCAGGTCCTCTGCCAAGAGCTCCAGTGCTCTTTAACAGCTGAACCATCTCTCCAGCCCCAAAGATTACCCTTCAAGGTAGATTGCTGCTGAATGTCTCTCTCCCTCTAACTGTAAGCATCTTGCTTTATCCATCACTGTATCCACTATGCCCACTATAGCCCTAATAGGTGTTCAATAAATGTTGAATAAATGAAGTCAAACATAGAACATCAAATGATACTGTGATTTCCACAAACGACATAAGCTTGAATGCTACAAGCCCCTACCTGGTAACTAACTGCTTTCTTTCCATCATTTCCAGTATGAGGTAAGGTTAAAGGTCCCGATACTATCCAAACATCTTCAAATCTGTCAGTTAGTTCACGACAATACATTTCTATTCTGAAAAACAAACCAAAAACGTGTTATATTTTCATAGGCATACATCCAAAGCATCAAACCCTATCAGTTCCCTGGAAAAGACACCAAGATATTTCACTTAATAAATTGACTTAGGGAGGTATGGTGGCACATGCCTTTAATCCCAGCACTCAGGAAGATAAAGGCATGCAGATCTGTGAGTTCAAGGCCAGTCCAGTCTACAAGTGAGTGCCGTTCCAAGGTAGCCAGGGTTACATAGTTAAGACCTTGACTCAAAAAAAGAGAAACAACTTAATATAGCAGAAAACATTATTATCATATAAGCAATGATTTCCCCTATAGTTTTACCGGAAAAAAATTAAGAGTCAAAAAGTTGGTGCAAGCCGGGCGTGGTGGTGCACGCCTTTAATCCCAGCACTCAGGAGGCAGAGGCAGGCAGATCTCTGTGAGTTCAAGGCCAGCCTGGTCTACATAGCGAGTTCCAGGCCAGCTGGGGCTACAGGGAAACCCTGTCTCAAAAAAAAAAAGTTGGTACTAGGGAGATGGCTCAGCAGTTAAGAGCACTTGCTGTTCTTACAAAGGACCAGTTCCCAGCACCTATGTGGTGACCCCCACAAGCGGTGCACATACATGGTACACTTAGATACATGCAGGCAAACACTCATACACATAAAATAAAAAATAAATAAACAATGTCCAGAACTGAAACTTTGTTAAAACATTTATCAGGGCCATAGCTCAGTTAAAGGATCTGCCTAGCCTGCAACAAAGCTCTGGGTTCAAACCCCAGCAGTGCAAAAAAACAAAAACTGTCTATGCCATAGTTTTCAAGTAAGTATTTTTTAAGAGTTGCATATCATTCTGACAAAGTCAATATACTTTATTTAACTATGTGTTTATTTTAATGTTTCTTCAATATGATATTAATTCAAGATAAATTCAAAGGACAGAATTACTGAATATTAGAATTACTGAATATTTTAATGATTCTTCATGATATCTAAAACTTACGCTTAATATTTTTAAATTTTAACTTATTTATTTTATGTGTATGAATATTTTGCCTATACGTATGTAAGTGCATCTGTGTGCAATGCCAGTGCTTTTAATCTCTGAGCCATCTCTCCAGCTCCAACTTAACATTTTTAACCATACTACATAAATTCACTCTAAACTCCAAAATTTGACCTAGCAATTTCACCAGTCTTTACAATACTGGAATTTACTATATAAAAACTTTTTTTTTTCAAATTTACCAGATAAAAATGCCAAGTAGTTCTAATATGCACTTTTTTTTAAGGTTTCCAGCTTTTAATTTTTGACATAATATAGAGAACGAGAATAGTATTTCACTTTCAACTTATGGGAGATAATCACATTCAAATATGTTTGGATTTGACAACCTGCTGTCACAATACTAAAGAAATTTCATTAGATAATCAAGTATCCTTTGGCTGCATGAGCCAATGTATTCGTTGTAAGTTGTTTAAAAATGCAGTCTGGCTGGGTGTGGTGGCACATGCCTGTAGTCCCAGCACTTGAGAGGCAGAGGCAAGTGGATCTCTTGTGAGTTCAAGGTCTACATATTGAGTTCCAGGTCAGCTAGGGCTACAAGGAGACCCTGTCTCAAAAAGACCAAAAAAAAAAATGCAGTCTGTTGGGCTTCAAATTATTAAAGAATATCAAGATTATGTAGACATTCATCTTACTCTATTTCATCCCATTTCAAAAGCTGAAGATAAAATTGCACCCTGCAATACTCCTGAGACTACACCTCCTTTCACTCACTTATAAAAGTCAAAAACTAAACTGCAACTTCCTAAGACATAGCTATTTCTAGCACGTACTGACATAATCAAGAAAGACTACTAGACAGAACTTAGTGATTGCTTTTATATTTACACTTTTCAGCATAATACATCTTTCCTAAGAAGACAAAAAAAATATTAACAACTTGGATTTCCCTTATGGAATGTAACACAACAGTCTCTCTTACTTTCTGACCTTCATAAAGTTCAATTGTCTCCGGTGGAAACTACCTACATGGCACAGTGCTATACAATTATTCCAGAGAGCTGTGTATTTAGGTTCACAGCATGATATCAACACAGGAGTAATATGTACATTCAGATACTGCCTTGAAAGTCTCTAAAGGAGAGAACAATATTTGTCACCACTCCTCAGTCTCTTATCTAAAACACAAAATCAAGTTAGTTTTTTATAGAGCAAATACCCAATTACAATGTAAAGTTTTCCTTCCCTACAAAGATATCCTTTAGGGGAAAATGTCCAAAACTCCCATAGGTAGGGAAAAATGTCAAAACACTCCCATAGGTACGCAATCAGCAAACAGAACATGGAAGGAAACACGACCAGAAAAACATCCCATATCTCCAACAAATAAGTTAGAAGGAAAAAAGGGAAGGAAAACCTTGAAAAGGGATTGAGAAGCTCTGCCAACTAAACCCAGGTACAGCTCTTGGTTGAATACCACCACTACCAACAAAAGGATACCCGGAGAAATTTGAATACTGTCGAACTAGTAACAAAAAATTATGGTTAATATTTTTAGGGGTAATAATAGTACTATGGGTAACATTTTAAAACAAAATTTTCTCATGAAAATATATATTAATAAAGTCATATGTTGTAATCTGAGGTGGGGAGAGTATATTAGATAAAACATATGTTACCATGATTAATAACTATTAAAGTTGTTTAGGACTCGTTTTATTTACATGTATGTGTGTGTTTTTATATATGCATACATATGTGGGCTCACGTACCCAGGAAAGCCAGAAGGAGGTATTGGATCCCCTGGAGCTGGAGTTACAGGTAGTTGTGAGCTGCCCAACATGGGTGCTGGGAACCGAACTCCTGTCCTCTGGAGCAGCAAGTGCTTTTAACTGCTGAGCCATCTCTCCAGCCCCTGAAGTCTTTTAAGTATGGGGTATTTTCTTTCTTTCTTTCTTTCTTCCTTCCTTCCTTCCTTCCTTCCTTCCTTCCTTCCTTCCTTCCTTCCTCCCTCCCTCCCTCCCTCCCCCCCTTCCTTTCCTTTTCTTTTCTTTTTTAGTGGTACTGAGGATGGAACCCAGAATCCCTGCCCATTTGAGGCAAGTAGTCTACCACTCAGTGACACCCCATATTATCTAAGTACTATATGAGAAAAGCATAGCTGTCTGAAACAACCTTAATCAGTGCTAATCTTAGATGTTTAACAGGACAAACTAACAGAACTTGTTAACAATGTCAGAAAAAGGTAAAAAGCCCAGATGATTTTCCACCAAAAAATGGCTAATGGCTATGCTGAACTGTACCCAAACTTTTCTTTTAAAAGGATCAGGAACAGGCCAGGAGGGGTGGTGCTCACCTGTCATCTCAGCACTCGGGAGACCGATAAACAAAAAACACAAGTTGAAGGCCAGACTGGACAGCTGAGACACTGTCTCCATAAACAAAAGGTTAAGGACAAATAAAGAAATAAAGTGCCTTTCCTGAATACCTTGCCTCAGTTATTAGCAGGAATATTATTTTGGGTAGTTTCTCTCAAAATCTGACTTTTGAGCAGTGGCAAACATACCAAAGAGGCAGGCTAGCTTTTGAAGTCTGTTCTCCCACACAAAGCTATATTCCCAAAATGTAGCAAAGACAATGGCCTTTCAGTGGGGACAGCGTCTGAAAAACACAGACAGCAGATACACAAGGCAGCCTCCTGTCACACCATTCACCTTCCACAGCTTACCTATTCCAGTATCCAGAATTATTATCAAAATCCTGCGGCACAATATTAGAAAGGTAAAAGGTTTCAGCCATGGCTTTCTGTGAAAAGAAAACAGCATGTTATCCTGAAATGTCTTCCCCTTAAAGATATTTCACAAAGCAGACCCAGACAACCAGTTCCTTATCCACACCAGGGCTGGGGATCTAACCCATGGCCTTATTCAGCCAGGCAAGCACTCGACCACTGATCTACAATCTCCAACCCACTAATACTTATTTAGATAAGTGAAAGTCACAGGTATTCCAGGACAGAAAACTCTATAGCGATTATGCAAAATAAGAACTAAAGGACATGGGTGAGATGGCTCAGCAGGTAAAGGCACTTGCTACACAAGCCTGATGACCCAAGTTCAATCCCCAGAAACCTATTTAAAGCTGAAAGGAGAGAACCAATAATAACAATATTGTCCTCTGGTCTTCACATGTGCACCATGGCTCACATGTGTTCACACATGATAAATAAAAATGTTTCTAATTAAAAAAAAAAAAAAGAACTATAAGTTGGAAGTTGGGTATAGTGATATATCTGTAATCCTAGTACTTAAGAGGTAAAGGCAGGAGAATCAGGGCCATCCTAAGCTATATAAGTTCAAGGACAGCCTGGCCTACACGAGCTTCTATCTCAAAAAAGGAAAAAATAAGAATTATTAGCTTGTTGTTCCCGGCTTTGCTTACCATTTATAACTTCCAAACTCCTGATGTTTATAGATTCCAAGGACTAAAGGTTTTAATATAAAGCTCAAGACTACAGGGCTAGAGAGATGGCTCAGAGGTTAAGAACACTGGCTGCGCTTGCAGAGGACCCGGGTTTGATTCCCAGCACCCACATGGCAGCTAACAACCATCTTTAAACTCTAGTTCCAAGGGATGTGATGCCATCTTCTGACCTCCACGGGCACTGCATGGCACAGGTGCACTTACATACATGCAGGCAATACACTCACACACATAAAACAAAAATAATAAAATATTTTAAAGCCCAAGAATAAATCCTGAGTTTAAGCCTCTAGCAGAGTTACTTGTCACAGATCAACATTAATTCAAACATTAGTTTAAAACTGGCTGAGAAAAGTTCCTTGCTTCCCAAGTGTCTAGCCACCATGACTTCATTCACTTCACATGTCTAATGTACATACAGGAGGCTTCACCTCATTGCATTCCTTCACAGTGATCTGGAAGTAATTGCTTCTACCACTGTGACCAACTCCTTAAGCAGTAGCTCTCAACATTAGAGGTTGTTAGAGACTGACTGATGCATTACTATTCCAGCTGTAGTACAGGTCTGAAACTTCTCAAAATAAAAACGAGCAAGCTAAGGGCTAGGGTGGAGCTCACTGGTAAAACGTCTGCCCAGCATACATAAAGCCTAAAATCAAAAATAGAAAAGAAAAAGTAAATGAGCAGCTTGAGCTCCCAGTGGCCTCTCGGTTCCCCTTTACAGTTAGAATTTAGTTGTTGGAGGAGAGACAGACAGACAAGGATATTCTCAAGTTTTAAGATCTGGCATCTAGAGGTTTATCTCTAAGTCCCACAGCCCCACACTGTCATCCCTCTCAGAAATATGCCTACACTTGAAAATTTGTTATTTCCTGCTGGTGCCATATGTCCTCGTGACCAGCCACTTGCAACATAGTCCTCATTGAGCGCACTGAAGGCCGACGGGATAGTGGGATCAGGCTTGAATTTACAATGTTTTCTGTCTGCGTCACCTGAGGAAAAACACAAAACGGTTATCTATGGGTCCCCTAAGCCATATCCCTCCCTCATATCCCCCCACTATTCCCAATTTCATGTGTTCAAAACACATTAATTATATGCATGCATGAAATTTTCAATTTTTAAAAAAATATTTTATTTTTATTTTAGTATATGAGTGTATTGCCTGTATGTAAGTGCACCCATGTCATGCAATGCCTGTGGAGATCAGAAGAGGGCATTGGATACCCTGGAACTGGAGTTACAGACAGCTGTTAGCTGCCATTTGGGTGCTGGGAACCAAATCTGGGTCCTCTACAAGAGCAGCCAGTGCCCGGAGCTAGAGAGATGGCTCAGTAGTTAAGAACACTGGCTGTTCTTGCAGATCAGGGTTTGAATCCCAGCACCCACATGACAGCTAACAACTGTCCATAACTCCAGTTCCAAGGGATCCAACAACCTCTTCTGTCCTCCACAGGCATTGCACAACATGCGTGCACTTACCTACATGAAGGCAATACACAGATACACATAAAATAAAAATAATAAATAAAATATTTTTTTAAAAAAGAGCAGCCAGTGCCCTTAACTGCTGAGCAATCTCTCCAGCCCCCAAATTTTCAATTAAAAAAAAAAAACTCATGTACTGTATTTTGCACAGTTATATTCTGACAAGCTTATATGTCAACTAAATAATGCATAAAGGATAAATATAGAAACAAAACAACTGGTTCTGGGCAGGCTCAGACTGGAGGAAGGACGGTATCTCTGATCTCTTGCTTACTGCCTTTAAAGTTAGGACAAAATAAACATTTAAGTTAGGCGCTCTATCCAGAAATTCCTAAAACAGATTATCTGAGTACTACATGGAAGAAAAGAAACGTTGATTTCTGCTGATTTTCTGATCTGCAGAACAGTCTGCCATGCAAGGCATGAGCAAATCCCAACCTTACGTTTTGCCAGTAATTAGGTCAGACCTTGTTAAACCATCTTGGTGAATGGAATATACTCAGACTGCTACACAAAGAAATTAGGATGGAGATGAATGAAATTACTGATTACAATGTCCTTTCACTGAGCCAAAAACTTAAGTGACCAGATTCCAAGGTTCACTGTAATTTACCCAACTCCTAGCTTTTTAGAATCACTTCAAAAGAAAAAAATTAATGATACAGAGGAATTATCATTAAGTAAACTTCTAAGTGTCATTTACTCTGAAATCACTTCCTTGAATGCCTAGTTACCTTTGGTGCTTGCTGCCTTTCAAAACTTATTTGTGGGTCTGGGACTGGTGGCACAGACCTGAAATCCCAGCTACTTGGGAAGCTAAAGTAGGAAGATTACAAATTTAAGGAACTTAGTGAGGGGCTATCTCAAAATAAAAAGGTTAAAAAAAAAAAAAGGCTGGGGAATTCATAGCTCAGAGGTCAAATACTTGCCTAGTATATAGGGGGCCCTATGTTCTACCCCCAATACCAAAACAAAAATGGCAAACTTACATGGAGGGCTTTCCAAACACCTAAGAAGATGCATTCCTTGAGAAAAGAAGTTAACTGACTTCTATCAGGTGCCTAGTGGCCTTACCAAAGAAGGTATACCAAGCAGTGATCAAGGTTTCTATGCACTGCATAGATTTGGACTACAAGTCAGTATGAAGGCCTGTCTGTAGCCTCAGCCTTTTACATTTGATGCACCTCTGTCAGTACCAGGACAACCTTCCCATAGTCCCCTAGAATGCAGGCAGGTGAGCTGATTCATTCTTCTCTAGGAATGTAGCCCTTTGTGGTTCTAAGTTCATGTATGGGAGTTGGATGAGCCCCAGAACTTTCCTTCAATCCTTCCTTCCACCCTATAGGACTGGAGTCTCTAAGGCAAATTTGCTGGAATTGCCCTTATTTCTCTAAACTCTGGCTTTGCTCCAAACATTGGCTTGGCAATTCTCCACTATTCTGTTATCGCTTCATATTTTCAAGTGATTTTAAAAAGCACTCTTCATCTACTGCTAGTAACATACCTTATTCCTTTCAGCAGGAGAGTTAGTTTGAATAAAAACTCTGACCTTTAACACCGAAGACTTTTAACACCAAAGTCAAGAAAGACCCAGGAATGTAAAGCCAGATGAGATAGCACAAGTCTGACTTCCCAGCTCCCACAGGAGCATGGGAAGTGGAGACAGGAGAGTCCCCAGAGGGCCACAAGACAGACAGCCTAGAGCATACGTGGCAAAGAGACCTATCTCAAACATAGAGAGCAAAGACCGATACCCAAGGTTGTTCTCTGCATAATGTGTGTGTGGCCGCACCATGATGTGTACGTGGCCACACATACCATGGCACACGTGAGGCGATCAGGGGACAATTCTGTGGAGTTGGTTTTCTCTCCTTCCACTTTGATGCAGGTTCCAGGGTCATCAGGTTTAGGCAGCAAGCCCCTTTACCTGCTGAGCCATCTCATCAGCCCCAGAGCACACATTTTAAAATAAAAAAGAAATAATATATGGGCCTTATAGTCAATGCCGACTAACAAAGTAGGAATGAAACTACCATCATAAGCAGGGTGTGGAAGGGTAAGCCTATAATCCCAGTACTTGGGAGGTAGACACAGGAGAATCGAGTTTAAGATCATCCTCAGCTACAAAGATAGCTAATCTGAGGCCAGCCTGGGCTACATGACACCTTATCTCAAAAGACCAAACAAACTATAGCAAAAAGTAATATCGTTGGGGCTAGAGAGATGGCTTAGCACTTAAGAGTGCTTACTTCTTAGCCCAGGTTCAGTTCCCAGAACAAATATGGTGGCTCACAACTGTTTGCAACTCCAGTTCCAGGGGATCTGATGTCCTCTTCTGACCTCCACAGACTACCACACTCACGTGGTACACATACAAACACTCAGGTACACACACATACACATTAAATAAATAAAATCTTTTTAAAAAGTAATATCCTGACCTACTGAGGGGAGTGGCAGTAGCGGACCTCATGGCGTGCATGAGCGTTGTTCTAGCCTATCAGAGCGGCTTACGTGGAGAAAAGAGGAGACCCTTCCGGTGAGAGGAAACAGGAAACGGAAGCTAGGAGTCGGGCGTGGTGAGGCCTAGTCACCTACTGAGCGCAGTGGCAGTAGCGGACCTCGTGGAAGACCACAGTCATGCCTCCCAAGGCTGTGAAGCCCCAGGGTAGACCTCGCAAGTGCCCAAAGGTGGATCCTGCCCCATCTGAGGACTCACAGAAGCCATGTGAAGAGATCCCAGCAAGGAATCCTGATACCAGTGCTGAGGAAGGTCCGTCAGAAACACAAGAACCCATGCCAGGACCCAGTGAGACTCTTCAGGAGACTGAACTGAGTATCAATGCTACTGTCAAGAACTTCGAGCGGAAAATTGACCAGTTCGTAAGACTTAGCGTCGAGGAAAGACAGAAGTTCTATCAAGAATATTCTCGGGAGTTTTTGAGCTTGATTGTGATGTGGAATATGGATGCTGAGGAAGTGAAGAACCACAGAGAAAAACTGGCTAGCTTACTTGAGGAGCGACAAAACCTTTTTCAACAATTTCAAGTTGCTCAGACTCAGAAAATGGAAGAATTTAAGGAGTTATACAAGCAATACTTAAAGAGTCTTGATGATATCGAGAATTGTCATAGAAATGTTGTTGCTGATGAAATAAAAAAACAAATGGAGATACTGGACGAGACAGTTGTGCAAGAAAATCAGGAGGAGACTGCTGTTTGACAGTCTCTTTCCCTGTTATTGTCCTAAAACTTTGAAGGAAGAGTATTGATGGAAGTGGAAAGATTTCATCATAAAATTAGTTGTGTGAATCTACTGAGGTTAAGACTGTAGTTGAAGAAATAACTAGTTTCTTGTTCAAATTTCTGTGAAGTAACACAACCTTTTTTGTTGTTGTTAAACCCAAGTAAAACTGAGTTATGAAGTAACAGCAATTCCAGGGCTTTATGTAACATTCTTCCAGCCCTTTGGTACTCAGGGTCATTTTTATTTTTCCTTAAAGTTGTCAAATA